GACCTTGCACTTGCCAGGCAGGCGCTTTGCCGCTGAGCTAAATCCCCAGCCCCTTCTTTTCTGAACTGTTTAGACTGTTGTTTTCTTTTTTTCTTTTTTTATTATTATTTTTTGACTGTTTTGTTTTCTTTGTCTTCCTGTGTAAATATAAAAGTCAGCTTGTTAATTTCTGGAAGAGAGATTCTTTGTAGATGTTGTGATTTCTCCCCCCATATTGAATGCAGGGCCTCTTGAGTGCTAATAACACACTCTTTATCACTGAGCTGTACTTCTAGCATCATTAATTTTGTTTTTAATGTTTTGTTACAGGATGGGTATATGTACTTTTTTATTTTATGTGTTTGTCTGTTTTTTGTCTTTTTGAGACAAGTTCTCCCTTTTCAGTTCAGGCTGGCGTTGAGCTCACTTTGTAGCGCAGGCTGGTCTGAACTCACAACGATCCTCCTCCCTCAGCCTCCTGAGTGCTAGGATTACAGCCGTGTGCCACCATGCCTGACTTATTTGTACTTTTTAAAAAACATAGTAGAAAAATCTTTTTCAGTATGATGACTTATAATGTACTGTAAGGTAGGCTAATAGACACCATATTAGAAATTCATGTAGTTAACCTTTTTTTGCTTTTATATTGTAGGTAAATTAAAGGTGCAAACATCATATCAGGGGAAATAAACATTTAGTTTGAAGGGCTCATGTTATTTGTGTGCAAGAAAGGACTCGATGCTCCTTTAGATAGAGGCTGAAAGTACAAAGATAATGTTAAACTAGGCGTGTAGCTTTATGGGGGTTTTCCTTCACTTTTTTGAATTTTTTCCAAAATTAAAAGGGTTCAGAAGTTTATATGTTGTTCATTCCCCATTTCAGAAATTTCAAGGCTGAGGCAGGAGGATTGCTGTAAGTTTAAGGCCAGCCCAGGCTGCATAGTGCGTTCAAAGTCAGCATGTACTACGTAGTGGGACCCTGTCTCAGAAACAAACAAAAAAAGAAATTTCAGTTTTAATAATTAATGACCAGAGGTCTGTTTATATTTGATTATCTGAATAAAAAGAGATCTTTTTCTTGCTCATTGATACATTTGTTATTTATATCAGGAAGATACATGTACTTAGTAATTTTTTCCTTTAAGTAGAGAGCATGTAAATTGTTTAGTGGCTAGTATGCTAATCTTCTGCTTCTTTTTCAGAACATGCAAATTGAAGAAATATTTAAGTTTCCTTCACTATGTCTTCATTTTTTGGCAATTTAGAAGTGAGGGCTGTGTCAGATGTGAAACTCTGTCAAGGCATCTTGTGCCTAAGGTATATTTCTTTGTTTTTCAGGTTCTAAATGGCTTCTAAAAAGTTGGGTGCAGATTTTCATGGTAAGTGGACTGTTAATATCATGATTTAAGTTATAATTTGATCAGAGAATTTGAAATCACATAGCATTATTTTAAGTACCTTTTTTGTGTCTTTAAGTGAACAATTTGAGAAAAATGAAGTTGTATGACACGTAGCATATGCATACATCCCAGGGCCTTTAGAGAACTCTACTCTTAAAAGTATTTCTTTAGATCACTAGTGTACTTTAGAACCTCTCATCATTTTAATTGAAGTTACTAGCGATAGATAAGGGGCCTGCTTAT